AGCGTACTATAGAAACACAAGAACGTCCTTTAAGTGTGTTTCCTTTTTTCTCCTCTGTAGAATTGCTGCAGGTTTTCTTTACTGTTACATATATGTGTATTTAACACATACCTACAAATAGCTGTAGCTTGTAGGTTTAATGATTCAGTCACCTCAGTAAACTCCTCTGTAGGTTCACAGGGTGCACAGTGGATTGTCAAGAAGCTGAGATTGTTTAGCATTTCATTATACCAGTGCTGATATATGACTATTATTTTGACACTGCTGCCTTGAAAGTCTTGAAGAACACTGTGAAAGGGTACCCAATCAAATAGTTGGTGATATTTTACGCATTAAGAATTCTCTAGGGTAAAAAGAAGTCAATAAAAATAATGAAACTATAAAAAGTTAAATATTCTTGCTCAAATTCTGTCAGATGAAGAAAGACATGCAAAGGCAATTCTAAAGATTTTCAGGGGGTTTACAGCGGTTTGGTTTAGGTAGAAAAATGCCAGCACTCTCTCAAATATGTTTCTCATACAAATTGCCACCTTTTCCCCTCTAAAAAAAGGGGGCAGGGGAAGAGAGAAGCGGACAGCTGTGGTTCAATCCAAGTTTGCAGAGAGTAGGCATGAACATCCAGAAAGGCAGAATTGTTTTTTACTCCCTAGGTCTGCATTTACAAAAGAGGAAACAATATAGTGGTAAATGAGTATATATCCATGGCTACAGGCTGGGGAGAGGATGATTATCAGGTTTCCAGGAATTGGTTTGGGTGGGGATTTTTGCATTACAAAGGCTACAACTATTTGACATGCTGGGGAGTTCTTCTTGAAACACGGGGGCCATGAGAGGAAGAGTGGAATGGCCAGAGCAGAGCTTCTGCTTATCAACCTCCTTCTCTCTGTGTAACCACGATTCAGACAGGGCACAGGTTTTGTGCTAGCTTTTTGTACTGTAGAGAATTTTATTCTTACTCTAAAACCTCTATCAGATCAGTTCATATTTAACTGGTGGAGAACTTGCTTGAAACTGCGCCTGACCTCGTTACTGAGAAGATGCATTTGCCCTCTGCCACAGAGGTTCAATGTTTATGGGCCCTTGATTGCCCCTGAGTCACTGGCTGCTATTGTGTTCAGAAGTGTTTTTTGGAAGCTGCACTTGGTGTAGCAATTGCACTGTTTCATCCTCATAGAGACCAAGCCATAATTATCCTCACCTTTGCCATCTCTGAGCCAGTCCAATTCAAAGTGCCGATTTCAACTTTGAAAGCTTTTTGTAGCTGAAGTCCCTACAATTTGAAATTAACCTTTTCATTTTTTTTATTTTTATTTTTTCCCCAAAATGGGAGCTGAGAGGTCAGTCTAAAGTACTTGAGATATCAATCCCCATATGCATTTGTGTATTGCTGGGGCTGGCAGCAGGAAAATTTCTCTGGAGGACACTTGACTTCATTATTTACTTCCAATCTATTGACCTACTCAGTTGATCTATCAGCTCCTGTTTGTTAAATACATAGGAAAAGAGTTGAGATCTATGAGGCTAGTTTTGAGGTAGATTAGTGAGAAGATTCGTCTCGCCTTAGAGAGACATAATGCCTCACAGGGAAATGATGATTGTTATTATGTCAGAATATAATTTCTGGTTGTCTTTATTATTTTATGACAAGAGTTCTCTAACATTAATGCTTGCTGGTAGTCTGATACCAGATTTCTATTTCAGTTTTTGGGAAATAATTCCAGACTTGAAGGATCCATGTTTCTCTCAAAACTAAACTGTCTAATCCAGAGAACTACTTTTTTTTAGTGACAGCTGAGCCAAAACTTGTTTCAGCTTAGGCAGTTTCATAAGGACCAGGACATGTCAGTAGATGACAGGGAGCACCAAACACATTTTGCTACGATGGTTCTAAGACTGGAAGTCTTTCAGGGAAGTGCATGGTGCCCTAGGCACTGAAGTGTGATTTCAAGTATTCTCTTTTGTACCTTACCTATAGGTTAAAATGCAACAGAATACATGAATTTTCTTTAGGATATCAAAAAGATACCCTGGGAAGATTAATCTTTAAATGTGACAGTCAACAATTATTTTAACAGCTTTATTGATACTGTGTCCAAGAATAAAAATCAAAGGACAGAGAAGAAATGAAATAAACATGGAATATTCAGTAACTATCAGAGTAACTTTGTCAATATTATTCATTATGTTAGAAACCTGGTTTAGAAGGTAAAACTATATATATCAAGAAGACTTATGAATACACTTGGCTGGACATCTTGGCTCCAACACTTTATCTGAAGTTCTAAGCACCATTACCCACCACTGGAAAGTGACGGCATATCCCTTTTTTCTTCATCTGAAGTACTTGCTGTCAGCATAGCATGTGTATAGAAGGAAATCCAGAAAGCCCTGATTTTTTTGTTATCTTTACCAGCTACTTTTGAGAGATGCTCCCACCCTCGTACATGAGGTTATTGCAATTGACCACCACTGTACTTCTCCAAGCACTGAGAATTAAAGTTTAGACAAAGGTTTAAGCGATCTGCTGGTCTGGCCTTTAGTTACTTAGCAATCAACCATAATATGGCCTTGAAGCTGAAAGGTAGCAAATTATATACTCCAAAATTATGAAATATTTGCAACTGTACTGCGTAGAACTGTGGTTTACACTTGTTTATAGCCTTTAACTATAATGCCTTTAAAGTGTTCCCCTTTTAGCTCTTTTCTGGAATGCTATTTTCAATGTGGTTTACTTTACAAAGACTACTTTGAAGCTGTGTTCACAGAAGGAAAGATCATTTGGCCCAGTGGCATTTGGATAAGCACTTAGTATAATTCCATTTAGTGTCTTCAAAAAGTAACTCTGAGATGCTAAGTAAATCAATCAGCTGTGTCTGTTGTGGAAATCTATGAGGCCAGAGAATTTTGACATTAAACTTTCCATACAGGTTCAGTCAAAGTGATCATTCCCAGGCTGAATTGGCTTGTATGCGCTGTTTGGAAATGTACTTAGAATCTATATACTGCAGCTTGTATCTGCTCTTCTTAACAGAGAACACTGCATGCTCACATGGCTGATAGATTTTAGTGGTATATCTTATAGGAAATAACGATCCAATGTCTTCAGAAGTCAAATTGACTTCTGGAGGAAGGCTGTGACTTTAAGGTCCTTAAGTATAAATCATGTTACAAATTAATACTTTACCTTGTGGGAATCTGGGAGTGATTTACAAAATTAGTGTTACACTATCTCTCTCAAATAAATAACTTTTAAAATGGTTTCTGTAGCTTTCCCAAAATTTTGTAACCCCCACATTCAGGACCTACCCAGCCCTGCTTTTAGCTGACCCCTGGTCATTTAGCTGTGACACCTCTCCTGGTCTTTGTCAAGGGGGAGCAATTTGTTGGGGGTTAGTTTGAATAAAGAACCAGTTTAAATATGCCTTCCCTGGTTATGATTTACTATTTTTTGAGAAGGAGCTGCCACTTTGCTTTTTTTTTTTTGGGGGGGGGGGGGTGGGGCGCGGAGCAGGCCATGTAGAAACCCTTTGCTGTGCCTTGAAAGATATAGCTCCCCTATATTTTGTATCCATTCCCTGGAGGAAAAGAAAAAGTTAAGGAAGAAAAAAGAAAATGAAGGAGAGGGAGAAGAAAGGAGAAGAAAAAAAGGCAAAATGAAAAGAAAAAAAAAGCGAAAAAAAAGGAAATAAAAGGGGTAAAGAAAAAAAAAGGAAAAAGGGGGAAAGAGGAGAGAAAGAAGAAAAAAAAAAGAAAAACAAAAGAAATAAAAGGAAAAAAAAAAGGAAACCCTAAAAGGACAGCAGAGAAGAAGGAGAGGAGAGAACTGTTCTGGTCTTCAAGCGCTAACGCAGCTGGGGGAGAGCGCGGATTGCCGTGCTCAGCCTACTTGGAGTCACACCGTTATTTTAGCGACTGTGCCCCGCCGAGGAGGACCTGTGCGGCAGAGGAAGCGGCGTCTCGCCGTGCCGAGTGCCGGCGGTAGAGAGAGCGGGGCCGCAAACCGGCGGCGGCCGCGGAGAGTAGCCTCGGCAGGGGACCGAGGGCGGAGGGGGGCCTCACCTCACCTGCGGGGGGGGGCGGGCGGCCGGCCACCGCCCAGGTGCGCGGCAGGGGCTCCGCGCAGAGCCCGGGCGGTGTAGGGGGGCGCGGTCCTGCTGCTGCTGCTGCTGCTGCCGCCGCCGCGCTCCGCTTCAGCGGTGAGAAGGGAGGAGGCGGTGCTGCCGGGAGCAGGGTCTGAGGGGGACGGACGGAGTGAGAAAGAAGACGCAGGGAAAGAGGGAGGGAAGAAGGGAGGGAGAGAGGCGGGGGAATCCAGGAAGAGGGAGGGGATCGGCGATCCGGCGCAGCTTACCCACTCACTCTCCGCTGCTGCAACTCTTCAACTCTGTCCGTTCTTTGCCTGGACATGTCTTAAAGTTGCATCTCTCTCTGCCTTTCGCCTTCTTTTTTTTTTTTCTTTTTTTTTTTTTTTCCCTCTTTCGCCCTTTCTCTCTTCTCTCTCCCCCCCCCCCCCCCCTTTTTTCCCCTCCCTATTTTTCCTTCCCACCCTCGTTCAAGTTTCGAGCAGCGGATGGGTCGGAGCCAACATGCCGCGCTGTGGCGATGGGGCCGGGCGCCGCGCTGAGCGCCAGAGCTGCGGGGTTCGGACTCTAGAGGTGTGTGGGCACCTGAGCATTGCTCGCTTTTTCTCAAGCGGACAAAAAAGAAAGGGGTGGTAGAAAGCGTGCAGAGATGAACAGAGCTGGAGCGGACTTTGGGAGAAGCGCGCCGAGTCCAGCTGGTCTGGTGAGTTCTTTGTATAATGAGTTTATTATCATCAGGGTGCTTAGATAATTCCAGTGAGAGTTTTGGTGCTCTGGTTTGTTGAGCTATTGAAAATACTGAAGTCTTCGCTTCAACCCCTAGTTTATAACTGTGTAGTGTATGTATGATTCTGTAGGCTTATATATATATACATAAATATATATAGGCATACCGACTTTATCCAAAGCTGTGCATACCTGGGGCTGAGGGCACCGCCCGCTCCACCACCACCTTCATCGAGAGAGCGGCACGCGGGTTGCCGGATCCAGCCGCCTGCAGCCGGAGCCGGGCTCGGCGCCGCGGGCTACCGGCTCCGCTTCGCTCTGCCGAGCCCGGGCTGGCTGCCGTCGCTGTGCCCGGCTGCCCGTACGTTGTGGCGCGGCGCCCCCTGCCCGGCAGCTGCGGAACTGCGGCCCTGTCGCTGCCGCGGGGAGGCCGGTGTCCGGACTCGGGTGGGGGGAAGCAGGGGCGGAGGGGAACTGCCTGGGCGGCCCCCAGAGTCTCCTGGCCAGGAGCTGTTGCGCCTGGAAGCCGGCGCTTTCTGAAGGGGTCGGCTGCTTCTGATCTGCAGCCCCGGGCGTGCGAGGCTTTGGCTATCGGAGGGCCCCCTATGCAGCTGGCTTTATTTATGTGGCTAATAAAAGACGTGGCGGGGCTAATGCAGGGTAAATGCACCCCCGCTGGCTTCTCCCGCCCGCAGCCCGGCTTCACCGTGAGCCCGCTAAGTCGGGATTCCCCAGGCAAACGTCTAATCGTTATTAAGCGCGATCACTTTATTAATGAGCGGGGAATCCTCCGAGAACTGTTTCGGAGTATTAGTCTTTTAACGTAAGGCTGGTGGGCTGACAGGCATCCTTCAGCATTACTTCCACGCCCGAGGCAGCCTGTACCACCTCCCCGGGACGCGGGTGGGCTGCCGCGATCCCCCGGCTGCCCCCAGTCCCCCTCACACTCCCCTCGCCGCCGCTTTTCTCGGCGCCGGGACACGGCGCTACTCCTTAAGTCGGCGGCTGGGAGTCGCGGTAGCCGTCAGTCAATTTTGGCCGCTACTGGAGACCACCCTCCGCACGGCCGCGAAGCGGCGTCTCACCCAGCCCGGGGCCAGCAGCTGAGAGGCGAGGCCAAGCCCGCCGCACGGGGGGAACGGCTGCCGAGGGGCTGCGGCCGCCGAAGGGCGGTCCTCGCTGCCATCGGCGCTAGTGGCTGCGGCTGGGCTCGTTCTGGATACCTGCCAGTCCTCGGATACCAAAGCCCCACAATCAAAGACCGGCTGCTCCCGCGGGCTCTGACGGTCTCCTTCGCCATTCCCGTAAGATGTTCCCTGGCAGTAGCTTTCTTAAAGTTTCTGAGTAGTTTCTCCGAGGGAGAACTTTGCCACACGCGAAGCCGCCGTGTCCCCGGACCGGAGCCCCTTTCACTGCCGTCCCGGCCGGGCTGCAGCGGGGCAAGCGCGGCGGCGATGAGGGGTCCCCCCTGGCCCTGCTGGCGTTCCCCGTGGGCACCAGGCCACTGGGAAGAGCAGTTTGCTCTGTGGTTCGCTCTCTCCCTGTTACCCCCTCTCCACACTCCGTATTCTTTCTGCCGAGCCGAGAATGTGTCGAGAGGCGGGGGGGGGGGTGCGGGAGTGCCCTCGCCCGCGGAGTGCTGCGGAACGAGTTCCGGAGGAGCGGCCGTACAGCGCCGCGGAGGAATACAGTCGGGGGGGGGGTTGGGAGGGCGCCGCGGCCCGAGGGGGCGGAGAGGCAGCGGCGAGGCACGCTGGCGGCCCTGGAAGAAAGGGGGAGCGGCGCGGCGGGTACCGTGCGGGGCTGGCCCCGTCCCGTGCCCCCATCCCGCAGGTAGTGAGAAGCAGAAAGGTGCGGCGAGATGCAGCACAGCAGGAGGGGACGGGACAGGACAGCTGGGCGAGTGGTTGGGAAGTTTTGTTGGCGCGGGGAGGAGGTGGTTTGAGCCCCCTTGGAAAGTTTCGTCTCTGAGGCAAGGCCTCCCGGAGGCTCTGGCCGTGCATGCACCTCGTGCTGCGGGGGCCGGCGGAAGGGGCTGCGGAGCGGCGCCCGCCCCCCTTGCCCCGCCTGCCCAGGGTGCCGGGCCCTGGTGGCTGCCGGGCGTCGCGGGCCCTGGCGCCCGGCTGCCCCCCCTTTCCTCCGTTTCTGGCTGGCGGCAGCCGGCGGGGCTGGAGTGTTGGCTACGCTCTCCCGAGAGCCGGCAGGTTGCTCCTGAGCTGCGTCGAGGAAGAGGGGTGGCGGTGATTTTTCCCCCCCGGAGGCAAGGTGTTTCGGATGCGGTTGACGTGCCGTTGCAAGCTTAATTCCTTGTTAAACCGGCAGGGGCGATTCGCGGTGAGAAAGTACGTTGGGGTGACTTTCTTCCTTTGTCAGCACTTTAACTTCGTGTCCCTTGTTGCGTTCCTCGCCGCGTTCCTCCAAAAGATGAGAGGCAGTGTCCGCCTTCGGCTCCGGCTCTCCGGGAGATCCCGGCTGGGCGCATCTGCCGGTTCCCGTGTTTGCTTGCTTTCTCTCTCTTCACGGTAGTTGAAAGAAAACAAAGCTTTGTTTGAAAGGTGCGCTTTTCAACCTCCTGGTGTCAGTGAGCGGCGGTGTGTCTTACTGCTATTCTTCCCCCTGTTGTAAACTTGCTTTTTTTTTTTTTCGGGGGGGGGGGGGCTGGTGGGGGAAGGGGAAACGCATTAATAACTTAAAAAATGCTGCCTTCTAGAAGTCAGGTTTTCTTGAGCTTTAAACACTTGCATGCAAGTTGTTCATAAGCAGTTGAATGGGAAATATTGCCCGTATTTTTTTACCACCTCTGCTTTCTGTGGAAGAAAAGAATGCTGTGTAGATGCGTATTTCCTATTTACTTGTCAAACTGTTGAAATACTCAGCTGTTTAGTGAGTAAAACGCTTTGCTTGAGCGCTGAAAGCTATTTGGTTTTTTGAGTTTATTCTCTGTGGGACCCTAAAGTTTCACTTTTAGACGTCTGGAAGGTGAGCTTTAGCAGTCGTCCCAGGAGTAGGATAATCTCCTGGGTTTTATAATTTAGTATGTGAAAGAACTTTTCATGTCTAAGTTATCACTGCTATGAGTGCAAGTAGGCCAATACAGAATTCTCTTAAACCCTCAAATATTTAATTGGGGGGGGGGGGGGCGGGGGTGTATTGTTTTTGTTTTTAAGTTTAAAGCTGAGTTCAAGCTCAGTGAAACTACTACTTTTGTCTTCACAAACTTTAAAGTGCTATGCCAAATTTCAGTCAAATGCTTTCCTAACAAAGATTGAAGGTCTGCTTTTCTTTGCACAACTGTTGAGTTCAGTATAAGATACACTAGTAAGTAACTGCCATACAGATAAATAGTAGTTCTCTGTGTGAAACTTTGTTTCACTGTGGATTCAGAATCTTTGCATGCATGTTGAGTACAGTGGCTGCATTTTTGCTCTTAACAGCAAAGGTCTCGAAAGCATAAATCAAACGTATCCATGAGATTAATGCATAATATGGAGAATACAAGCATAAAATTTACTAGGCTTTAGTCACAAGTTGAAACTGTTAGGTTAATATCTATGGCAATGTACAATTTTGTTTGATAACTTACCAGCTTTACTGAAGTAATGTTGTGGTACACTTTCATCATGTGTTAATGTTCTAAATGCCAAAACAGTTGGATGTACTCCCTCCCTCACAGGAAAGAAAATGACACTGTTGAGGTTTTTGTTTGGAAACTTTAGCATCCTGAAACAGCTAAACCTGATTTTTATTTTTTTTTTTTCCCCAGTCAGACTGCATAAATAATTGCTTTTCAATAACTGAGAAAGTATGTGTAACTACAGTTAGTACAGCCTACAAAGCCCCATGATCTCTCATAGCCTTCTACAATAGGAACCCTGGTATGACAGTTTAGTTACCGCAATAATAACTCTTCATGGTACATTTGTGTCAAATGGCATCAATAGTGTATGCTGATCAAAACTGACTTTTACAGTAAATAGGTGATGTTTTGATTGGTGGAGGCATTTTAGTCTTGCTAACTTAACATTACAAGTCAAAGAAGCTGGTGCCTGTATGGGGTGAAACCCCCAGTACATTTATTAAAGATTTCAGTAGACAAGCAATGTAGAAACAGCATTAAAGAACCTCTTTCAATGCTCAAAATAGTCTGATATGTCCCTAGAGCAGTGTAACAGGCCATGATCACAGAGTCTTATTCTGCTAATGTAAATGATGTAGCTTATCTTATGTGTAGAAAAGGGATAGCAGTGGGGCTAAAACTCATCACAGCTTGGGCCATGTGGCCTGATATAGGTTCTTTTTCTACCTCTGATTTCTGGGAGAGTAAATTTGCTCTCTTTTGATACATTGTGTAGAAGATAAGCTTGTTTGGCTGGGTTTTGTTGTCTTGTTTGGCATTGAGATTGCTATGTACTAAATTGTCTATGCTTGAAAATTTCAAGTCTCAAACTTTGAAGCCTAGGCACTCTAAATGTACTACTAAGAGAGACAGTCTTTTACATTACTGCTATCTTATCCAGGTCATCTTCATTTGTAAATTACCAGATTGAGGTCTGATAGCTGCAAAATTTTGCTTTGTAAACTTTGAATGTCACGATAGTTCTTATTTCTAAGTTCTGTTAGGTTTTCCCCCCCATATACAAATTATGTTAATGTGTTCATAATTTTGTTAATATTGTAACAAAGTAGTAAAACTGTCTTGTGTATTCCAGAACTTAATATGCATATAAATAAAAATTTCCAGGGTATGCATATAAATAAAAATTATCTGAATAATAATTTCCAGATAAGATATCAAAGTTTACTTTAAAGGAGTTTTTCAGAGTAAATGTGGTGTGCACTGCTTGTAAACCTAGGGCTGTGATGTTTTGCTAAGCAAACAGTTGCCTTATGTGTTAAATGGATGCAGAAAATCCTAAACTGGTCCTATTCCAAAGATAATAAAAAATTTAGGAGTTCGAAGTGTAGCCTTTGACTAAAATGTTTCTGAAATTCTGAGTCATTCTGGCTCACTATAATGAGCTGAGTTTATATCTAACACATTCTCACTTTATCTTAAAACTTTCATACTTTCCCTTAGTAGTTAACTGTCTTTACTACTGGCATTGTTTAATACTTCAGCTATAGTATGCTGACTTTTGGATAATCTTGGGTCAACTTTTTTTTTTGTTTATTTTTTGTTTCCAGTAGCTCTGTAAATTATGACAGAATGGAAAAAGTATTGATGGGACAAGAGTAATGGGTTTAAACTTAAACAGGGGAAGTTCAGGTTAGATATAAGGAAGAAGTTCTTTACTGTGAAGGTGGTGAGGCCCTGGAACAAGTTGCCCAAAGGCATGGTAGATGCCACATCCCTGGTAGTGTTCAAGGCCAGGTTGGACAGCGCCTTGGGTGACATGGTCGGGTGTGAGACATCCCTGCCCATGGCAGGGGGGATGGAATTAGATGATCTG